CCTCCCTCCCTCCCTCCCTCCCTCCCTCCCTCCCCCCTCTCTTCCTTTCTTCCTTTCTTTCCTTCTTCCTTTCTTTCCTTCTTTCTTTCTCTTTCTTGGCACATCTGTAACCCTGGATATTCATAAGTCAGTTTGAGGCCATTCCAGGAAAAAAGTTCAGAAGGCTCTATCTCATCTAATATGGGAAATGTAAATGGAATGTAAATATAAATAGAAGAAAGTGGTCCAGGCTACCCTGGGCAAAGTTGAGACCCATTTGAAAAATAAAGAAAGCAAAAAAGCTAGGGTATTGTTCAAGTGGCAGATTGCTGACTAGCAAGTGCAAGACTGAATTCAGACCCCAATATTGGGGGAATAAAAGTAGAAAATAATAAGTATTGGTAAGGTTGTAGAGAAATTGGGACTTTAATACACTTGTGGTAGGTATGGAAAATGGTCCAGGCTGCTATGGAAAACAGTGACAGTTCCTCAAAAAGCTAAGCAGAAATCATATGACCCAGCAATCCAATCCCAAGTATTTATAGTTAAGAGAATGAAAACAAGTGTTCAGCAAAAACTTATACTCCAATATTCTTAGCAGCACTATTTTATTTTATTTATTTATTTATTTTGGGTCCGGTCGTGGGGCCTAAACTCTGGGCCTGAGTACTGTCCCTCATTTCAGCTCAAGGCTAGTACTTACCACTTGAGCCACAGCACCACTTCCAGCTTTTTTCTTTTTGCTTATGTGGTGCTGAGGAATCAAACCCAGGACCTCATGCATGCAAGGCAAGTGCTCTACCACTGAGCCACCTTCTCAGCCACAGCACTATTTTTTTAATGGCCAGAAGGTTGAAACAACCCAAATATCTATCAGCTAATAAATAAAGATGATAAAAAACTGTACATCCTGGGCTAGGAAGGTGGCTCAGTGGTAGAGTGCTTGCCTTACATGCATGAGGCTCTGGGTTCGATTCCTTAAGCACCACATAAGCAGAAAAAGCTAGAAATGGCACTGTGTCTCAAGTGGTAAAGTGCTTGCCTTGAGCTGAAGAGCTGAGAGACAGCGCCCAGGCCCAGAGTTCAGGCCCCATGACTGATAAAACAAAAAATTGTATATCCATATAGTAGAGTAGTATTCATCCATAAAAGTGAAATACAGGATGACACTGTCTAAAAGCAAATCTATTTTTTGCCTGACTTATATAACTGCAATCCTTTTGTATATCACCTTTATAATAACACTTAAAGTGAAATACAATATATACTACCACATATATGACATTCAAATACTAAATGAAAGAAATCAGACACAAAAGGCCATGTGCTGTATGATTTCATTAAAATTCAATGTCCAGTTCAGGCAAGTATAGAGAGCAGATTAGTGATTGCTAAGGGATATAGAAATGTGCAGAAATGAGCACAGTTTTTTAGGGGATGATGAAATATTCTTGAATTATTCTGTACAACATGGTGGATGTACTAAAAGCCATAAATCTTACAATAAATAGTTAAAATGGTTCTATTCTGTGAAGTTTTTCTTAATAAAAGAATGGGGAAGGCTGGGAAAGTAGCTCAGTGGTAGAGCACTTGCCTTGCATGCATGAGGCCCTGGGTTCAATTCCTCAGCACCACATAAACAGGAAAAAAAAAGCCAGAAGTGGCACTGTGGCTCAAGTGGTAGAGTGCTAGCCTTGAGCTGAAGAGCTGAGGGACAGAGCCCAGGCCCAGAGTTCAGGCCCCACGACCGGCCCCCCCCCCCAAAAAAAAAAAAAAGCATGGGGAAGGTTCACATGAGTGAAATACCCTGCCACAAGATTGCCTATTACTGTTTCCCCAAAGCTTTGGTCAGCAGGAAAGTGAGAAGAGGCAGAGACAGACATTTATTACCCAGAACATTGGCTTTTAAGGGCTAGAGACTAGAAACTGAAAGAAGGCTAGTGGTTGGTAGGCTCAGACCTCAGGTATAAGTAAGAGTAAAGAGCAGAGAAGCCTAAAACTATCAAACTTAAACACTTTCTCCTTGCAATGTGCTTCTTTTTGTTTTTATTTTTTTGGTCTGTCATAGGGATTGAACTCTGGGCCTGGGCACTGTCCTTGAGCTCGTCAGCTCAAGACAAATGCTCTACTGCTTGAGCTACAGTGCCAATTCCATTTTTTGTTTTTTGTTTTTTTAGTGGTTTATTGGAGATAAGAGTCTCACAGACTTTCCTGCCCGGGCTGGCTTAGAACCATGATCCTCAGATATCAGCCTCCTGAGTAGCTTGGCCCGGCTGCCAAGTGCTTTTTGACAGGAACATCCTTGGTGTGACCAGATTGAAATCAAGCCAAGAAGGTCTCTGTTCTTGAGCTAGTATGTGCTCAGGAGGGAAAGAGGATTGAAGAAAGCTTGTGAAAAGAGGCCTTTTTGGATACTTCTGTCCATCTTTTGAACAAAAACCTGGCTATTGCTCCTGGCTAGAAACCACGCTTTATCCAGGATAGGTAGAGGGAGAGGTAGGTCCCTTAGTACCACACCCTTTCCTCCTCTGTTTGTTAGCTGTCATCCTGCTTATGTACTGAGTAGAGAGTAGAGACCCAGCAGCTCAATAATGCTTTGTAATAAAAAATGTGATGGATTTCTGGGTGTGTGGAAAATCCATAGTCTTAGATGATATCACGTTTCTTACTTAGAAACACAGGACACCTGAATCTTCAGTGTACTGGGTAGGTAGGTGAGAGAGCTATTTTTTTTTTTTTTACCAAATACTAATGTTAGGAGAGTTTATCTGACATTGTGGATTGAGCTAGTGGCTGTTTGTCCATGGAATTTATGTTCTCCCAGTTAAATGAAGTGTTTGCTTGGGGATGCTGAAGTTGAGCTGAGTCTGAGTGAATGGCATTCTTATCCAGAGGGTGAGGTTCTGCACAATATAAAGAGTAGCTAATTAAGACAATTCTATTTCTTGATTGGTCAGATTTATAGGCATATCATAATTACACCTATATTAAAGCAATTTAATTTTCTGTTATTTCCAGATTTTCTATACTACAGTCTTGGTGCTCTGCTATGTTATTTATTTCACAAAGTTACTGAGTTCCCCAGAATCAAGCAAGCAACAAACTCTTCCTGTCTCCAGAATAACAGATCTGTTACCCAATATTACAAGAAGTAGAGTGAGTAATGCTCTTTTTTGTCACTTACCATTTTAATCACAGATGATAGTTATCTTTGAGAGATAGAAATTTCAAATGCTTTATTGATGTAATAGGAATGATAGTTTTATAGCTCATATTTATTGAGTGTTTGCTGTATGCTAGAGTTTCCAACTATTAGCACTGGTGACATTTTGGTTGGACAAATCTTTGTTGTAGAGACTGTCATTTGTTCTGTAGAATGTTTAGCAGCACCCCTGGCTTCTACCCACCAGATGCCAGTAGCAATCCCTTCCCTAGTATAATACTCAGAAACATCTCCAGACACTGTCAAATGTCCCTAGGGGCAAAATTGCTCCCAGTTGAGAAGCACTGTGCTAGGCCTTATTCTGAATGCTTTACATATTTTAATGTTTACAAAAACTCTGAGAAGTTGACATTGGCACTATTTTTATTTTAAGGTTGAGGCTATGGCTTAGCCAATAGTACTTGCCCAAGGTGAGGGTTATAGCAAGGACCAGAGCCTGGAGGGCTTCCATGCCTGTAGAGTACAGACTAGCCTCTGTTCTGCTCTCCCCCCGCCCTCTTGGGTTGACTTCTGGCATAGGCAATGTCCAGAACTCTAAGAAAGCAAGGATGGCCTATGCCTCCCCTTCTTCCCCCGCCCATTGGTTTGATTGCTCCTTTTTTTTGAAAAATTTTTGCATGTAGCCTAGACTGATCTCAACTTTGCTAAGTAGCCCAGGCTGGCCTTGAACTCTTGATCCTTCTGAGTGCCACCATACTCAGCTCCCCCTGGTTTCTTTAGGTGTGAGGCCAGTTTCATGAAATTCACATTCCTATCCAAACTGTTGAGGGTGTTAGATGCTACATTTTGATGTGTGGGATGAAGTACAATCTGTTTTTCTACCCCACTCCTTTACTCTTGGGCCATTTGCCTTGTATTTCCTAGCTATAGTAGAGTTAGTACTGCTGTCCACAGCTTGAACCACATGTAGGATGATATACTCTTCCACTCAAGGGCTCTAAACTGCTCCATGTTGTGCACAATCCCTTTTCTCTATACTTGTGTATTGGATGTTTAATTTTTCTGTAGAAAAACACATCAGACTTCTCCTTGTTCCTCTTTTGTGATTACTTGAAAAAGTAGCCAAAGGGGCTGGGAAGGTGGCTAAGGCTCAAGTGGTAGAGTGCTAGCCTCCAGCTGAAGAGCTGAGGGACAGAGCCCAGGCCCAGAGTTCAGGCCCCACGACCGACCCAAAAAAAAAAAAAGTAGCCAATTATGTAGGATGTAAGTCTCAGAATTTATGGAACCTTGTCATAATAGCTTTTCAAAAAAAAAAAACAACAACTAGATGTTGTATGTCAAAGCCAGCTATGTTCTCAGTTTTAAATGAACAGTTTTCAGTTCTGATCACCTGGCTTTCACCTAAATTATCATGAGTTTTGGATATGACTATGCCTCATCTGAAGTCTTAAGATGGTTTGGACTCCAGGTCACTTTTGCCTAAAGCTTCTGCTCGCTGCTCACAGTACAGGTCTGAGTACAGAAAAGTCCCTCTTCCCCTGAGGACTCAGAGTGTTCACCTTCATCAGGTTTGACCAGATTTTCATCTTGAGCCATCATCTGTGCTCCAGCATTTTAACTGTTAATGTGAATAAAGAAGAGAAGATAGTGAAAGATCTGATCTATCAAGTGTTTGTTAAACCCTTCCATGGGCTCAGATTTCTGAGTCTAGGTCCAGCTCTTCCCCACAACCCCCAGTACTAAGGTTTAAATTCAGGGCCTTGTGATTGCTAGGTAAGTACTCTACCATTTGAGCCATACCCTCAACTTTTTACTTTTACTTTGTTTTTCACATATGGTATACTTTTGTTCAGGTCTGCCTCAGATTGATTCTCTAACTTTGTCTCCTGGATAACCGGTATTAAAGGCATGCACCACTATGTCCAGCAGAGGCTCGATTTCTTTATCTGTCAGGTTTTCTGAAGGCTGTTAAGAGAGCCTGATAAGATAGGTTATATAAGATATTTAATGCTGTGGCCTGGCACAAGTGAGTGTCTCTTAAGTATGAATCAGTTTTGTCACCATCAATATATTGCTGCTCTGAGAAAAGTGTTGGCTCTGTTAGAGCATATCAATAATGCCAACACTGATGGCTTGTATGAGGGCTCATCAGTTTATCTGTCAGCCTACCTGAAAGTACCCTGCATGTTCTCCTGGAGCAGATTTCTTGATCCTGAGATGGTTTTCCTCATGTTGTTGCTACTTGGCACACAGTTATGCAAAAGAAGTCATTCCCAGGCCTTAGGAAGTTCCAAGGACTCTAGACCTCAGAGATGTGGTGTTTTTTTTTTTTTTTTGCCAGTCCTGAGGCTTGAACTCAGGGCCTGGGCACTGTCCTGAGCTTTTTGTTCAAGGCTAGTATTCTACACTTGAGCCACAGTGCCAC